ATTCAAGAGACAATATCTACTCATAAGGCGAACCTTGTGCTTTCGATTGAAATCCGTGCAGACGAATACGTGAAAAGGAAGAGCAAGCGAATGCGTTTGCCCCTGAAGGAACAGGCCCTTTCATCAGTCCCGATGCTATGTAAAATGGCCTACGTCAAGGGGCGCGTCATCATCCTCCATACGTCCACTGTTTTCCGTGTCCTCTTTTTCAAGCAATCTTGTCTACGTCACGTCGTCGCTGAAGACGAGGAACGATCCTCCTTGGTGACGATCAATTAGAGATGGAGACCAATTTGTCAGAGTAAGAAACTCCAAACCATCCGAACGGACAAGCGTGGTGGTATAATATTCCCACCACGGCAACAATAATTTGTTGCCTCTAGCCTACTCGTTTGCTATTGGATCATTTGGGTCTCGTAATGTCTTGTATACGCGACTTCGGCATCAGTGGTGCTCAAATCCGTTTTCCTCAAAGAGGAAATACAAACAGGACAACGAAAATCTCTGCATCTAGGAATCGTTCTTTACATGCAATAATACGACGTGTAAAATTTTGCGAACTTCCTATTTTGGGCCATTACAATTATGACGGATGTGCTTCCGATGAACTTAGATAATCTCACAAAATTCCTAAAAATTCGTTGCATTTTATAGCCTGTATAGCCTTTAAAGATTAAATGTATATTTAAAAAAATATATATATATATTTACCTTTGGATATTTTTCTGAATTTAAAAACTTTGCAGAGTCAATAATGCTTGAAAATACTTACTCGCTTTACTCGATTTACTCGCTTTGGTTGCGTTCAGCAGAACATTTACATTGCAATTGTTGGAAGTTTTCTTCGCACTGATTGAATTATATTTTTAAATCTAGAAGAATAATCCTATCTCAGCAGACAATCATAAAACGATTGCAAAATTATTGTATTCTGCTGAATGCAGCCTTTGAATCATTCACATATTTCTCTATAGGTTTGTCCGCGTCGACTGCTCCAACATGCTCCAATATGCTCTTATCATAACTCCTATTCACTCCAATGCGCTTATTAGAGTAAGTAGGAATTATAGCAAGCATATTGGAGCATGCGATGCGACAAACTATATATTTATGTACATACATTAAAATATAGATGCGTTTCAGAAAGAGAAAGTTGGTTAACTTGTCATGAAATCGTATCTCGTGACAAGTTGCTAGATATAGCTGCGGATTGGCTGTGGGATATGAAATCACCTGAAATTCCTAGAACTCCCAATTCGACAGCCAATCGACACGCTCGACGATCTCGAATCCTAAAGTGCATGCCAAAATATACTAAAAATAAATATCTAAAATAATAAATAATTATTAACATAAAATATCTATATAATATAGATATAGATATCTACACCACATTAGTATCTATATTAATCTACATGTTAAAATACAGATTTTCAATTATTTCTTAATAATTTCGAAACGAATCGCCAATTATTGCTTTCTTCCTTCTTTTTTCTCGGCACAGCTCCGGACGTTATTCGTTTCGGAGTAAAAAAACACGGCCACGTGGCTTTAAGTTCCTCCACTCTGCTCCGCCTTTTCATCGCACGATTTACGGCTTTTATAACGGGTCCAAAAAATACAATCAATGCTGTTGAATAATGAGATAATTATCAGATATAATTATATAGAATTAATTAGATATTTGTCTGTTCCTCTATTCGCACTTTCCTAGAAGAAGCTTTTCACAATGGGAAAGAAATCGAAAAGGTGCGTCTGCACGCACCGAGGGTGCGTCTGCGACTCGATTAGCGCAGCAATCGCTAATTGAGCGTTGTTTTCTTCGCGAAAGGGACCGAAGGGTTTTTCTCCAACTTCTATATATAAAGCTACGGGAAGTAGAAATCGCCGCGCGAAGGGAGCGTTCCTTCGTGTCGTCATCGCTCGCGTCTCGCGTCTTCCGACATTCCGTCATTCCGTCGACGGTAGACGGGCGACGCGACGAGGAACACGTGACGACTGGACGCGCATGTCGTCGCGCAGGTGTCGTCCGTAACCAAGAGCCAACGGAGCGGCGTCGGATATCGGCGGTGACGGCGCTCCGCACGTCTTCTTCGCGGAGAACCGGAAGAACAAAAAACATCCGGTTGCTCCGTCATCTCGTCCCGACGATACTCGCCCTGGATTGCCCTACGTCGCCAATTTGTTGCCGTTTCTCCCTTTTTAGGTTAGAATCCTGTCCGTGCTATACCGGGTGTCCCGCAAGTATCGGCAAATATTTTTACCGATGTTCCCTCGACCGACGCTCTGAGTTTCCTTATTAAATCTTTCGCGGGAAGAATTAATTTAATTTATTTATTTATTATCTATTTTATTATTGATTATTTATTAAGCTTGGAAAAGATAAGGTTTTTTGTTGTCATATTTTTGAATTTTGTATATACATATTTAAAAAACTGAATTTTGAATGCATGATTATTTTTACAAGCTCATTAATTTACTGTTAATTTCTATGAATTTTAATATTTTTAAGTTATCTTAACGAGCCATTAGAAACTGGTGGAATTGATACCTTGATTAATCAGTCGCTAATTGTCCTTATATTTTTCTATATCCAGTCTAGATAGAAACAAATTGCTCAATCACAAATTCAGTATGTCTGTGACTGAGGAAAGGATCCAGGACTTGAATCGACGTTTCGTGGATTTCATGAGCAAGCCAGAAAATGTTGAAGCAGCCACAAAAGAAATTTATGAGGACTTGTTGGATGATGTTCTGATGGGTTTCGTATTCGACATACACCGTATAACCAAGACTGGCAATTCTGACGTCGAAGAAGGCATTCCCGATGATAAATCCTACGCCATTGTCGGTACATACAAATATAACAAAATTTTTAGTGAACCACCCACAAGGAGTGAAATATTTATGCAAAATATTTTCTAACATTTCAGTAAAATATTTTAGAAATACTGTACAAATATTGTAAGAAAAAGAATATTTCAAAAACTCTGATTTCCTGGACATATTTAAAGATTTCTTTAAAAATTTCTGAAATATTTCAAATCTTGCAACGAAATATTTTGCAAATATTTCTAAAATATTTTATGCTGTGTGGGCAGGGAGAATTTCAAATGGGATAATGGAAAATTTCTAAGTCTATATATGTATATAACTTTTGTAATTTTTTTTTCATTCTTTGTACAACTTTGTAATTTTTATTTTTTGCATTAGATTCGCCCGGCCTAGACGTGTTCGGTCAGCACCCGATGAAGAAATCTCAGGAATGCAACTGTCCAAATTGCGAACGTGGTGTGGCAGCTTGTAGATTCGCTACTCATCTAGCAAAATGTATGGGCATGGGGAGGAACAGTTCGCGTATTGCATCGCTTCGTATCGCGAATAATTCCAAGGACCTGAACAACTACGGCGGAGTATTGAGCGACGACGATGACGACGTTGACTGGAGCCTAACCAACGATAGTGGTAACAAGCGTAAACGTCCACGCAAGGATCGCAACGGCGTGAGCAAGCGTTCCAGCAAGCAGCAAAAGCAACAGGGCGCGGCCGGCGGTAGCGGCTCGCAGAGGAATGGCGAAACCACTGTCGTCGGCAGCGAACACAACGTGCACAGCAGCAACGAAAGCTCACCATCGAATTACGAAAATATGTCACTCGTGGACAAGCGGGCGCTGCTCACGCAAATCTGCGGTGTCGTATCTGAGCATACGAAGAAGCTGTGTACCAGATCGGTACGATGTCCCCAGCATACTGACGAACAGCGTAGAGAGATACGCGCCAATCTGGAATCCAACGGTCAGGACAATCTGCATGTTGACGTGGATACGTACGAGGAGAACGATGGCCAAAATCTGCGAGACACGTTGACGAGGTGGGACCGGGAAGGTTCCAGTCATTCTAGTCCAGCCGACTCTGCCTCGACCACGTCAACCTCATCGATCAGCCGGAAACGAGAGACTAAATCCAAGGGCAAAGGGAAGGCCTCGTCGAAACGCGATCGCGGCTCTCCAATATCGCAGGGGGACTGAGGGGAGAGTTCATCTAAAACTGTTTCTCAGTCTAGAAGTGTTCCTCGGTTCAGGTTCACTTCTCGCCGACAGGGAAATATTGTACGATAATGTTCCTACAAGCTGTACATAGATTGAAGGGAGATTCTCCCTTGATGATTGCGAAGTTTGCGTAATACTTAATTCTAAATATTATCTACGACGTCCTTTTGTAATTATTATTTTTAAGAAAATAAATAGCAGCGAATTGCAAAACGAAATGTGAGATATTTGTTACCTTTCCTAGACTTGGATATCTTATTTTATTTAGTCTTCTGAGATACTGATATCTTTTTAGCTTTCAAAAAATTGACGAAAAATGTCTTTTTGATATATTTCTTTTAAATTCTCGCGTTTTTTTTAATTCACGCATTTCTGATAAATATAGAAATGATAATTGCGAAGGATTTAACATTGCCTGTTGCCATCTAATAATCTTTTACTCTGTAACAATTTTATTATATAAATCTTTTATTGCCATAAAATATATATCATCAAGACGTTGAATTGCTGTGCACTTACATTTATTACAAGATATTTGTTCTTTCAATTTACATAGTAACATTAGATGAATTTTCATTATTATCTCTTATCTTCGAAATCAACTTGAGTGTTTTGTTTTGTAATTGATTTAAAAATTATTAGTACTAATAATAAGTTTGATTATAAAAAATCAAATTATGACGTACTTTTTGTAAGAAATATAACAATTCTTACTTTACATTTTTGTAAAAGAGCTAATAAATCAATAAACATCCAGGAAAAATATATCGAAGTATACTCCAAAGATATATACTTCGAGCGCGCAATGGATAATCAGAATAGTTAATATTATAGGTATATATCACAGTTGCGGTGAATGGATTATAAAGATCTATCGGCTAAACCGTCATGCAATTTGCACGGTAGAGATAAGGTGGCGAACACGTAGAAGGTTAACGAATACCGAACGTAGTTCGAATGGAACACTCGACGAGGATTTTAGTGCTTGTGCATAATGCAATCAATTACAGTAAGAAGAGATATTCTAAAATATCGTATTGACAAAAGGATATAAAAGGATATAAATATATAAACTACATCGATAGTAAAGTTACTGTAAAAGATATGAAAATTAACAAAAAAGATATATAACTTCTTAAAATTATATAATCATAAAATTAATTCTCACTTGATTGCTTGTTCACTTGTTTTCTAGCTTTCAGGCAGGATGCAATACTCACTACTTTATATGCTTGTACTTTCATGCAATACAGCATTCTCCACAAGTAAGTTTTGTAATTTAGAATATCACAACTGAATACATGAGTCACAATATAAATTGAATCATACATTACATGAATAAAAGTAGTTCAAATTCTTAAACTAAATTTCTTCGAACGCAATCTGTAAGAAATTCAAATATATCACTTTTAATGTTAAATCTGAATTTATATATTATATGTATAAGAAAAAGTTATAATAATTTTCCAAAAATATTTTAAATAAGCAAAAAATCAAATCATTATTTTTAAATTGATATATGATTTATAGCAAATCTATGGCAACGAAAAGATTTTCATCAAGAAATTTTATTAAGTATAGTTCCTGTTAAAAGCGCGTAACGTTATAGTAAATTTAATTTCTAGTAAATATAACAAAACATCCTAGTTGGTCGTTATTGGAACAAAATAATTGCGGCAATTCCAACAGCGATCGCATTATTGGTGGCAAAAATGCGAGCCTCGGCGCGTATCCTTGGATCGCGAGAATAGGATACAGCAAGCCGAATACTAATGGTTTAAGCTACAGATGCGGCGGTACAATAATTAATCGACAATACGTAGTCACGGCTGCCCATTGCGTAGTGAATCTACCTGAAAAGTACGTACAGAATAAATAAATAAATAGAAAACAATATTATTCAAAGAAAAGAAAAAAAAACGAGACTTTATCATGTATTTTATGAAGCGTTCGATCATAACGTAATTATTTTTAGTCTTTAAGGTGAGAAGAAATGAAATAAGCATTTCTTGATTAACCTATTAAGGACTGCTGGTCGATTTTTCAACTAAAAAAAAATAGTCAACTTTTTATATTGCTTTGGATTTTATGACCAATGGTCGCAAAATTGCCATTAAAACGATTTTAAATTAAAACGATTTTGTGAAAAAAAGTTGTCTTAGTTCTTAATGGATGAAACTGTATTAGTTTGCAAATTATACGACAATGTCTGTGTTTATTAATCTGTTTAAAATAGAAATATCGGAGAGACGCTCCAGATTTGAGAATTTGAGAATTTTTAATCTTAATTAAGAATTTAAATGTATATTATATGTTTTTGTAATTTATATATTCCCTACAACACAAAGTTGCACAGAAGTTGCAGCAACACTGTTACAATATTGCAGCAATATTACAGAGATTTTGCAGCGATATTGCTGCAAATTCTATGCTGTATGGAATGTGACTTTGTATTGTTTAATAAATATGGAGGTATATCTAAGTTTCAAGGTCGGTGGAGTTCGTTTGGGCGAACACAACATCCTTACTAATCCCGATTGTGAGCAAGGATATTGTGCGGAGCCAGTGCAAGATTTCCTGCCCGAATCGGTAATTGTTCACGAGAATTATAACAAGCCGGAATTCAAAAATGACATAGCCATAATACGATTGAACAAACCGGTGATTTATAACGGTGAGTTTGTAAACTGATTAATTTTTATTAATCAATTTCAATTGATCAACTTTGGTTTTCCTAAATAAATTTGTTTCTCTTTCTTTATGATTTATACGCAGAACATGTAAAGCCAATTTGCATGATGAACGGTGAACTCCTCAATAAGAACTTCGTCGGCGAAACAGCGGAGGTCGCCGGTTGGGGAATTTTTGATATCAGTAAGACATTTAAATTAATTTAAGCTAATAAATTAAACTTCATATTTTTTCATACTTTTCCATATATATCATAACATTCATTTAAAAATAAGAGTTTTCATTAAGGTAATTGGAAAAACTCTTGAGTGGATTAAATTAATTGTTTTCTGAAAAATATCTAACATCCACGGAAAAAAAAATAGTTGAAAACTTTACTGATTCAACAAATTTACAGTTGTAATATACATAGACAGTCAATTTTCTATGTTAAAGTAGCAAAGTTGACAGCTGAATAACATTAGCGATTTGTTTTGATTTAAACCATCAAATCTTCTACAAATATTAAATTCACGCAGTAAATTATAAATTTGCTGTACCACTCAATTAATTTTTTTTTCCGTGTCAGTTTTTAAATTCACATTAAATCGATTGGTCTCATATTTACCTTCATATCTTTGTTTAAATCTTGAATTTACAAATCATCTACTAAAAATTTACAAATCTTCTTATTATCAATAGATGATCCGAAACCTAGCACGATCCTGCAGACTGTCAAGCTACCGATCGTCAAGATGGATGGATGTATAATGGCTTTCAGGAGATATGCAGAAGTATCAGAGGATCAGCAGATGTGCGTGGGTGGTGTTCCTGGTCACGATTCCTGTAGTGGTGATAGTGGTGGACCCTTAATGCAAGTGAACAGCCTGAATGGGCCTCCTAAATACTACTTCATCGGCATCGTTTCTTTTGGCACAAAATCTTGTGGTACTTTCAAAACACCCGCTATCTACAGCAAGGTTGCGGCATACATTACATGGATCTTGAACACCATGCATCCGTAAAAATATTCAGCTTTATCTGTAGAAAACAAACAATTCATAACTTGGCGGAAAATTTCGTGTTTAACTTTATTTACATACACAATCGATTTTTTTTTTATCTGGAGCAATAGAAATCTGAACCTTGCAATTGTGATAAAAATGTTTGTCATTAATATTTTCAAAAATAAATAAATCTGTAATAAATATATATTAAATTATTATATTAAAATTTTTATATTAATTATTATATTAAATTATTATATTAAAAATAAATTATTATAACTAAAAAGAACAGTTGTAAAAATAAAGATATTTCAAGGGAAACTCAAACAGAATCGCAGAATATTTTACAAGATAGAATAATTTATAAAATAATTTAACACAATAGAATAATTTTTATACGTTATAGAATAATTTACGGACATCTGAACACACTCACTTTACTAGATAATTACTACTGGAAGTAATTATCTAGTAAAATCGATTTAAAAAATCAGATCTAGCAGGAAATTTTTAATCTCGTAGGATTTCCTTCACCTGTTCGCGCACAATTTATTGTTTGTGGAATTAATTAACAAGGACAAGCCGAATTAATTTAAGTCTAATACAATTAGAATTTTGATTAGATCTAAAACGTATTTCTAAATTTACTCAAACGAACTTATTAAAATCGAACATTGCGATCTTCTTGGAAATGCGACCGCAACTTCCGAAATTCATGTGCCATGAAATGCATTATATACACACACACACACACACACACACACACACACACACACACTCTCTCTCTCTCTCTCTCTCTCTCTCTCTCTCTCTCTCCCTTCTCCTACAGGTGTTTAGTATTACAAAACACTCAGAGAAACCAGGGTATTTCCATTTTGCATTGTCGAATCTAGATTGCGTCAATTAAATACGTAACATTATCGAGCTATTTTCCTTCACAAGATTCATCGAGGAATCTACATGAATCACTTTGCGGAAACACGTCAATGCGTTCGTAGTTATTCACAACTGCAACAATTAAATATAAAATAGAAACAATTTCTTCCGCGAATTTTTAGAATACATAATACAGTATTTCCTTTTTTTACAATACTTTTTTACGATACACATCTAGAATCTCAGTAAACAATTTAAGTTACATATAATGGTGTTGATTGTAATTTCTCATTATATATTCAACAATTAACTATAATATTGTGTGTTATGTTACAACTATATTGTTGAATGGGAAATTATATGTACGTTTCATGTAACTTAATGTTTGCTAGGATAAGTGATTTAAATCACAGAAACTAAGAACAAGGCAAATCTAGTATAATTACTGTTTCATTCAATTTATTTATAAATTAATGCATATGATGTAAAATACTTCGAATACTTTTGCAAGTCAGTGCATATAAGATACGATCTGTATTACGCTATTATATATGTTATAATTACATATGAGTAGATAATGCGCACATTAAGATAATCGATTCGTTAGTCAGCTATTTAACGTAATCTTAAGGTTACTAAGATAAAGACATGCTTATACCATTTGTTTACATTAATTTCACAATTCACAATTATAAGATCAATTTTTCACGCTCAATTTTTTCATTGGCGAGATTGGTGATATTAAGACACTTCCTTGAATCTATAATCCTCTCTTGGATAATTTTTATGTAATACATATTTTGCGGAAAGAAAGAGGGATTTTACAATAAGACCATTACAAAGGGAAGAGTATTTATATCTTTCAGGAATCCAGGATTTTCTGTCTCTAAAAAATACATTATTTCATTATGTCAGATTTACGATAAACTGAACTGCGTAACTGCACTGAGAAAAAAATATAGTTAATTTTAATAAATATTTAGTTCAATACTGCCAACTAAACATTTATTTACAGTAAGTAAATGTTTGTTCAATAAAAAAAATGATTGTTAAATCAAATTAACATTTTTTGTATCAAATAAATATATCTTTATATTTAATTGGCAGTATTCAACTAAATATTAAAATTGACTATATTTTTTTTCAGTGTGGAATAAATTGTTTATAAATATTACAAGCATATACATTATGAATTCTATTTGTTAAATTATACAAAATTATGTATGCAAAATAAATCTAATCATTTATGATAAATTTATATTTAAAAATATAACGTTGATAAGAAAGCAAATAACGAAAAAAAAAGTTGCTACTAGTTATCAGGAATATATTGGAATTTACAGGGAAAATCCTAATAGATCAGAGATTGCAAGGATCAATGCAAGTACTAATTAATTTGATATCAGTTATATATTATAGTTATATACTATTGAGCTATATATTAGATCAAATAATATATTATAGCTCAACGTATATTTATATATTTAATAATAAAAAAATTTATATATTTAATAATTAACAGAATCTATTACAGAATTAACAGAATAGAATTTCATAGTAACCGAAAATTATTCAAAATATAGTTACAGAAAAAAATTATGTTCCTTTAATTCCTTTTATTTTTATTTCTTCAAAAAAACGTTTGTGGTTTTAACTACAGATTACAAAAATAGGAAATTTTCCCGACCAATCCGCTCGTGCTAATTAGCTTGGCAAAGCTTGTTGACAGCGATGGTGGGGACAGTTGTTGACCCTGGCTCTGGTCACTCTATCACGGATATTATCGTCAGTTGCTGTTCTGATCTGCGACAAAGCAGCCATAAAACAGAAGGAGTTGCCGCAACCGAACGAGTCTTCATTGTTAAAGTGTGTTGATCATCTTTTAATGTTCTTTTAGTGTTCGGTCAATAATAACGACATAGAATAATTCGCCGATAATGTCGACATCTATTTTCCTAATGTCTCTTAAGTTCTTAATGTTGCTGATCATTAGCATCAATGCACGTAAGTTGATTATTCAAACTTTGAAAGACATAACATTAATGTTAATTCAAGAACATGTTGAAAGCTAATTTGTTCTAACTTATTATGCTTTTCCGCATTCTAGAAAATATGAAAAATTATTATAAAGAGACTTATAATATTTTTCACATTCTTTAAATTTTTGATAGACTTTATTTGAATTTATTTGTCGTTTCTTATACTTGTACTTTCTCATACTTAGGATTACAAGATTACAAGATTAGGATTACAAGATTACAAGATTACAAAGAATAACTAGAATTTAATTACTATTAATTTACTATAAGATTGCCCCCCCTCTCCTCTGCTCCAACAAGCAGCGTAATATAAAGGAAACGGTCCAGAGGAACAGCTCAGGCTGCTCCTCGGCCTGAGGAAGTGGATTGCAAGGTTTATGAAACCTTGGCAAAAACGAATCTTTATATGGAGAAAATCCGCGAAACGCATAATCTTTATATAGAAAGCATCCGTGGAAGCTTTAAGAATATCACTAAAAGATTATTATAATGATTCGACTGAGAACAAATTAATTTATATATGTACTAATAAATAACATTAGAAAAAAAATTAAAATAACAGATAGTTTAACAGATAGTTTAACAGATAGTTTGCAAGTAGCATTAAACTTTTTTGACAATTCATTAAGAATTTTTTGTTTTTAAAGATTTAAAATTAAAATAATTCAAAATTAAAATAATTTTTTACAAGTTTTAATTATTATATCCTAATTTCTCTAATTTTTAAAATAAATTCAGTAGTGTTTAATTACATTTTTCTCAAATATAATTTTTCTAGTTTCTTTTTTATAATACTTGGCGTACAAAAAAAGGCAAAGTACTATTTGTATCAAAAATTATGCTTGTAATGTATACAACATCAACAACTGTAGATCAAATGTACATCTGAAATTTTGATAATCATATCTCAAATTTAATTTTATTACTGGAAGTAATCTTAATTATCACGGGACACAATTATCACGCGATCCACGACATTATTAATTATCATGACATTATTAATTATATATGACATGCTTCCGTAAAAACAAAATTAAGTGTCGGTTTTCGATAACATCTTTGGAATTGTATATGCATTACGTCACCGAATTAATAGTTAACGTCGAGAATCAGGAAAAAATATATGCATAATCAATGCGATTGAATCAGCTTTGTTTGATTTTGCGCGTTGCAATACTTGGATGGATTTCTGAATTACAGATATCTCTCATTATCTAATACAGTAATTTATATTGTAATTTTAATGTAATTGTGTATCATTATAATAATCCATTATAATATATTTAGTTTTGTATAAATAATACTGATATCATACTACGTATTAAATTATGAAAGAAAGTTCTACAAAAAGATCCTTATATAACCTAGAAAAAAAAAATGACTGATCAGTTTCTGTTCAAAAAACTAGAAATGTTTGACATTCTAGACAAATAGCGAGAATGAAAAACGTTGTATGTATTCAGGGTTGAATAAGTTAACTTTTTTTTTAACTAAGTAAAGTTAAAGTTAATAACTAAGTTAAATTTTCATAGTTAGGCTACAAGTTAATTTATAATGAAATTAATCGAATTAAACGTTAAGTTAATAAAAAAAAGTAAATTGAAAAGTTAAAAGTTAAATTTATTTATTTTTTATTTTTTTATTTCATGATTCCAAGATTTCAGTCTTACAAATAACGAAAATGACAAATATATAATTCATTTAGAAAATACTATATATTCTATTTACATGTTTTGTTCATATATACTATTTGCATAGACTGTTTTATATATATATATATATATACTGTTTGAATATTTTGTTCACATATACTTATTAAATTTAAGTAATAAAGTCATTTTGAAATTTTTTCGGACATCTTTTTTCACTAGTTATCAAAAATGAGTTCTGCATTGAACAGCCGATAAACTCACGTTTGAAGATAATATTGATATTTGTGTTATATTTAATAATAATAATATATTTAATAATAAGGAATAATAGATTTCAACTTATCAGAAACTAGATGCATCAAACACGGTTTCTGACAGATTAAAATCTGGGAATCGATTGTATAATTTGAAATAAAATGATAATTATAAAAGTGAGCAAAATTCTCACTAGAATATTTATAATTTCATTGGTCAACATCTATTAAATTTGCTTATTTTTGCAATTTCACCTCATATTAAGGTATCGCTATTGTCGCGTATTATGTCTGAGACTTAATTTCAAAAAAATTAAAAATTAATAGTTAAAATATAATATAACTAAATAAAATTAAAAAGTTAAGAGTCTAAATTGTAACTAAGCTAAGTCAAAATTAATTAATTTTTTAACTTTTTAACTTAACTTTTATCTTTTTAATTTAGCACTACCCAACCATGTATTATTAAACGTATGTATTATTAAACGTTGCGATTATTATCTTTCAACTCAAAAAAGTTTCGACATAAATCACTAAATAAAAGATATTTTTCACGATATTTTTTATAAAAGAAAATTAACTTAAAATTAATTTATTGAATATAAAATAAATATATTTTGTATTCATATATAATTATATCATTGTTAGTAATTCTAATAAAGCTAATATTATGTTTCTTATTTTTATTAATATTCTTTTATCCTGACGTCTTATTCTTATTTTTCAGAATATCGAAGCCCGAGAGATCAGTGTACGGTAGACAGCCAGGTAGGAACATGCATAAACGCACGTGATTGTACATTAGTGTCCAACATTCTGCAGCAATCACGAGAGCAAGCCATCGACTACCTGAGACGCAATCATTGCGGTTTCGAAGGCTCAAATCCTTTGGTGTGCTGTGTTAACAGCGCGAGCATCAGCACCCGTCCAAACGGCGTCGAGACGAATCCTGGGAGTACATCGGATCCGAGTTGGAACTCGGAATCATCCCCTTCACCTATCGAAAATTTCCAGATAGACCTGGCAAATAATCCATTGCTGTCGAACAATTGCGGTCGCGACCTATCGCAGAGGATTGTAGGTGGCGAACGTACTGACTTGGACGAGTTTCCTTGGATGGCGCTGGTCGAATATCAAAAACGTGAGTAGAAATAAATAAATTATTAATTAATTATAGATATATAAAGTCTTGAATAAGTTATTTTTATCATATGAATGAGTTAATCTTATAATATATGATATAATGTAAATTATATTGTTAAAAATATTTTAATACAGTAGTATTTTACATACAATACATATTTTTATACAGTATCTTTCCAATTTGATATTACAGCAAATGGTAGAACGACAGCATGCGGCGGTGTTTTAATAAGTAAACGTTATGTCCTTACTGCCGCTCATTGTGTCAAGGGCAAGGACTTACCAGCCAACTGGCGCCTATCCAGCGTTCGCTTGGGCGAATACAACACCGACACCGAGAGGGATTGCGTGCCGGATGGTGAGAATAGTGAGATATGTGCCGATGATCCAATAACCGTAGGTGTAGAAGAACAAATCGCTCATGAAAATTACCGGCCCACTTCGCGGGATCAACGTTATGATATTGCATTACTACGTCTCAGTCATGATGTGCCATTCACAAGGTACATTCAGCCCATCTGTCTGCCGTCCAATTCGTCGCTCGGCGGCAAGCTCTTCGTGGCCGGTTGGGGCAAGACGGAAACCAGCTCGGCTTCGAATATTAAGTTGAAGTTGGCCTTGCCTTTGGCGGAGAAGAGCCTGTGCGATCAAACCTACGTCAGCGCTGGAGTTCGGCTGGGACTAGGACAGATCTGTGCAGGTGGTCAGAGAGGCAAAGACTCGTGTCGGGGTGATTCAGGTGGTCCCCTGATGGCTCTCGAAAGGATCGCCGATGGTACCGGCAAATGGACTGCTGTAGGCGTTGTATCTTTTGGACCATCGCCTTGCGGCATGCAGGGATGGCCTGGCGTATACACGAAAGTGTCAGATTTCGTTCCCTGGATTCTTAACAATATGAGGCGATAAATTAGACATTACATTATTTACGAAGAAAGATATCTCTTGACTATTGCTTGGAAATGATTTTTTAAAGAAGAAATTGATGAACAAAATGCAAAAAAAATTTTTATTGTGATAAATAAATTATATATATATTAATAAGATAAAATATGAGATTGTTATTATAAAATAACAATTTTTTTTCTTTCTCTCCCTTTGTTTTCCATATATATAAAAGGCTCATAACATGCTCAATAATATAAATATATTAAGTGACAATTACTCATTCGTTTTACCCGTATTTATTGTATTGACATGTTTAATAGCAATAATACTTACAAATATTTGTAGCAAGTTTTATTCAAACACGAAGCAATAAATCTAAAATAAAATTCACAATATTGACAAACAAATGATAAAGAAGTCAATATAAAGGAATTATATTGCTTTTAAGAACGACAATATATGCGTAAAAAAATATTTTTTAAGTTTGTAATAACACTTATAATAAAGACCAATTAAAATTCTTTATTAATTGTATTGAATTAATAATTACCTTTTTCTTTTTTTTTAGCGTACTTTTATTCTCCTCTTTCCCTTTTATTGTTCTAACATCGATGAATAATTTGTTTGTCTTTAAATTATAATGGTTTTCACAATAGTGATATTTTTTTTTACATTATTTTCCTTAGTATTATTTTTGTATTTTTATAAAGATCACTCTTATCATCATAATGTGAATCCTTGATGCGTATCGCATAAAATTTATATCTTTTATGCGTATCGCATAAAATTTATTTCTAGGAAACGTCATTTAATCATTAATAAATTACAACATTATTTGTAATCTACTTATTTGCACTTTATCTAATTAATATAAAAAACTAAATCGATTTCCTAGTAATTCCATCTTCTTCTTTTGAAAAAAAAGTAATGAAAAATCGCGAATTGTCGAATCGCAAAACTATGTGATTAATAATTACGTAATTCAATATTCATATTTTTATTTTCTGGAGTTAATAAAACGGGTGGAGTTATTATGGAATATGACTTATTGGCTGACATATAACGTAATAACAGTTTATCCTACGCAACTTTGAAAAGCACAACCAAGGATTATTCTAGAAAATAAAATTCATTAATTAAAATACATCATTAATTACTTGGGATACTGTTAATAAATCATAAATATTAAAAATTTCTCTCGCAAAGCTCGAGAAGAAAATTTTCTGTTTGTCGATTAAAATATTATTTTAAGGTGAAACGACAAACAGAAAATTTTCTCCTCGAGCTTTGTGAGAGAATAATACTTGAGAATTACAGGTTGATTTGTGGTTGATTAATTGCTGTTAATTATGTGTCATTAATTCGTTGACGTACTAATCTTCCAGAGAGAAATGCTTTTTCAATATTACTAGCGAAGGAATCTTCGTTTTGTTGCGCAGATTACGACATATGTTTAAAAATTTTGTTGAATTAAATAACAAATAAGTAAAGAAATTTAATATGTAGCAAGCAACATCTTTAGTTTGGAGAAACTAATATTTCGTCGTAATTTTCTTTATCTGTCAGGCTTTGACTAATAATTACATATTTTAACAGAAGAACATACATCCCTGCAAGAGTTCGATCACATAGTATTATCTTGGGAAACTCCCGGTGATTATAAAAATCGATGTTTATTCTTTATCAATCTTTTCTGGTAAAATTCGTTGTAATTATCGTCTTCCAAACAAAATTAACCTTTACTATGTTCCAATATCCAATTAGCTTTTTCTCTCTCTTTCTCCTTTATCTTAGTCTTTCATTTCTTATATCTTTTCTTCAAGTATGGCTTTCAGGAAAGATTTTAGTCAATTTGCCTTTTAATTTTATATATAAATGACATTAATTTCTGTCCTAAAAGAAAAATGATGATTGTGTCGTTTATATTTTCATTTTAATGATTAAACTTATACTCTCTTCCGTGAAATTATGCTAACGCCGTCAATTAGTGATGATAGAAATAGATGTATATATATATATGTGTGTGTGTTTCGTGTGTGTGTGTGTGTGTGTGTGTTGTGTGTGTGTGTTGTGTGTTGTATGTGTTGTGTGTGTTGTGTGTGTGTGTGTTGTGTGTTGTGTGTTGTGTGTGTGTGTGTTGTGTGTTGTGTGTGTGTGTGTGTGTGTGTGTGTGTGTGTTTATTAGTTCGATTTTTATAATATTAAAACTGGGAATAACACCATTCTGGAAATTGTTGATAAAAAACATATGTATGTTTAGTAAAAAAAAACTAATTGCATCATTTTTTTTAATATAAATGATAGAGTAAAAGAAATTACAATATATTTATAAAAATATAAATGTAAGAGATTGAATATTTAAGTTTTAAATAAATAGAAAATTCAAAGTAAATAGATAATAAAATAATATAATGTACAAAATAAAATTTTGTGATAACTCTTGTAACATAAATAGTAAAAATCCTATCAGTAATTATTTTTATGAATGGAATATACATCAGATTGACATCAACATCTCCAAAACAATTATTTGTAAATAAAGAATATAAATAAGGAATTCATAAAAGGACAATGAAATTTTTTAAAGGAAAGCTAGCGCGATTCAGATTTTTCCAGCATTTCACAAATCCCGCGATAAGCTATAATGGAAAAAGAATGATAAATGGATCATCACTAACGAACATCCCCACCGAATCAGCAGATTAATAGGCTCAGCAAGTAGTGAAGGAACTTAGTTAATTGGCGATCAGCCGATCAGTACTGGTTTTGATCTTGTAGTATATCTCGACTTGAATGCGCGAACGAGAATTATCGAAGCGAAACAGGAAAATCCCCGCTCGATCTTATCTGTAAGAGAATGAAAAAGAGAAAAAGAAGAGAATTGCTATAAAACGAAATTGATTGGGGAAGAGTTACGTGCTAATACCATAAATAAACATGATATCCATCGGCTTATTCGTCTTTTTCCTCGCTTCAATAACATCGATACATGTGAGATATTAATTCGTTGCATTTGGACATTTTCATTTGAAAAAGAATATCTAATTTTTTCTTTAAGTTCTAACAGAAAATGTTTTTTTGATTGATTTTTTTATAAATCATGTATTAGGTTGTCCGGAAAGTTGTCAATTTTGAAGGAAAATTGAAACGCAGAAGATTTAATTTCATTTATTAAATTTAAATCTTTTGCAGCACGAACTTTTCGGACAACCCAATACTTATTTTAAATCGTAGGGACACATTTGGTACAATTAATTAACATATATTAACAATTACTATCTATCTAATTCTAATCACACATTTAGGCGCTTTTTCAGATAAATATTATTTAAGATATTTTTAATTATATACACTATGTAGTTTGAAAATGTGGGATTTATTCTAAACTTCGATAAGAACTTGAATTTTATGTATAAAAGTTGCTTAAGAAACATTAATTGATTGATTGAACAATAATTTATCGTTACAGAGAATAAGTGATGCTAATTACGTCAACATTCGCAAATATCCGGAGGTCATATTTATCTTGACAAGTTCAAGATCGCTTTCAGCAGAGACATTGCAGACTCTTAGAAATTTGCAATGTGGCTTCGAAGGCAGCGACCCGAAAGTTTGTTGCAGGTAATTAAATGTATAACAAATTAATTTATCTACAATAATATTATTTTTATATATGTATATAAAACTAATTTATTAAAGTCTAACCTAATAAAATAATGTTAATATAATCGATGATTTCTAATTAAAAAAAAACAATTAATCCTTACTCTTCTAAGTGGGGTCTCTATAGTTATCGAACGATTCCTATTCGTGCAAATTTCTTTTGGTAATTATAAATTATAATTTTATTATTTTCCAAAATAAAGTACCGATATTTATTCTAGAAAGTTGAAAGTGTGCTGGTGAATTTTTAAAGATTTTTTTGAATTCTGAATTGGTGAAAAAAAATATAGATAGATTTCTAGTGTCCCTGTTAGTATGGATGAGGCACCAAATTGTATCTAGTAGGGTAAGGATTAAATCTAATATAATTTAAAGCTAACTTAAAAAATAAACGAAAAAATACAAAATTATGAATTATGTACAATATTATAAATTATAATTATAAATAAATACATATATCTTTCACGAATATGTTTTAGTAACTTTGTGTTGATAATTTTCCTATTTTTTGTTAATTATTTAAATATTTAAAAAAGTTAAAAAATTATTGACTCAAACTGTACTCGTAAAATCTAAAATATTCTATTATATTCTGGAATAATAAAATCAGTATTTTATTGTTATCCAAGATTTTATTGCAATCAAAGTTCCTTTATGATTTTCTTTATTTTAGATGTAATTTACAGTATTAAAAATATATTTTTCCAACCAAAGCAATGAAACCGTTTTTACGCTCAATTTTTGCAATATCTTTAATATACATTTGAAAACGTATTATTCCACATATAAATGTACTTATTTGCAGAACATAATAAAATTCTTTACGACTTGATAATGTTCGTTATTATAACACACATTGTCAAATTTCCAATTCCATACAAAAATGTACATTAAATTCAAATGCTTCGAGTTTTTCGATTTTTGTTAAATATTAATATAAATTTCGGTAATAGGCAATAACAATAAAGGTTCCAGATTCAGAAAATTCTCCAAATCCAAATGTGACAAATCATCCGAATCTACGTCTATTGAATCATATATTGTGTGGACCGATCAATTAATTGAAAATGATCAGCGATAACAAAACTGATATTTTCTAGTATCGTAATAGGGTGGAGTTAATCTTATCGACTGGAAAGCTAAATCCAGAGTTCCGTTATGGCGATACAATCATTAACTTTCGCTATTTCGCCGCTCATTGTGTCATCTTCCTTCCAGCGGGTAAAGAAAAAACTATAAAGTTATGTTGACATAAGTATGGCAAAAATTAAGTTAAATTTCGTTTAAACTTAAAAGAAATTTAAAATTAAATTAAAAAAAAAATAATTTTTTCAGAAATTATATTTAAGAAGTCCATTTGTTCTCAATGGTGTTTCTCATAACTGGCATAAATTTATGTAATCGTTATTCTCCAGATCTACGACTAATAAATGTCAGGATAGGAGATCATGACATAAGCAAGGAATGTGATTGTTATACGGATAACGATGAACGCGAGATCGTGTGTGCCAAGAGA